CGGCAGGACCCGCGGCTGCTACAGGTGCGGGAAAGGAGGCGGCTTCTGGGGCCGCGACAAGGAGTCGTGCCTCGCCTGCGGCGCGCGGTACTGCGTCGGGTGCGTGCTCCGGGCGATGGGCTCCATGCCGGAGGGGCGCAAGTGCCTGGAGTGCATCGGCCGGCCAGTGGCCGAGTCCAGGCGGGGCGCGCTGGGGCGAGGGTCGCGCGTCCTGCGGCGGCTTCTCAGCGCGGCGGAGGTGGAGCTGGTCATGAGGAGCGAGCGGGAGTGCGCCGCGAACCAGCTGCGGGCGGAGGACGTGTACGTCAACGGCACCAAGCTGTCGCCTGAGGAGCTCGTGGTGCTGCAGGGGTGCCCGTGCCCGCCGTCTAGGCTCCGGCCGGGGTTCTATTGGTACGATAAGGTGTCTGGCTTCTGGGGAAAGGTATGTGGCTTGTGACGATCTTAATTTTCTTGTGCTCCTGGGTAACCTTATCTGTTTGATGCAACAGCAAACAGTTTATAACTAAACTGGTGGTGATTCGTGTCCATTTAGTAGAAGTAGGGATATTACACCAGTCAATGTGCAAACATGAAGTGAGGATTGCAAAGTATTCTGTCGGGTAAACTCTTTGAAGGACATTTAGTAGAAGTAGAGATATTACACCAGTCAATGTGCAAACATGAAGTGAGGATTGCTAAGTATTATGTCGGGTAAACTATTTGAAGGACAATTTATGTGATTTTTTATAGTTGCAGTTCACTATATCTATAGTATTATATTATTAGTTGGAATCATGATGTATGTCTGGAACTCTGGGCGCATGGTGCTGTTGAACATAATCTGCTGGAATATTTAGTTGACTTGGTAGAGCTTTGATGAATCAGCACCGTCAGGCATGTTGTATGATGGTCCACATGATCTTTCCTTGTCCTAGGAATGATAATGTATTGTGTTCTGTCTAAATCAGGAGAATCTGATAATTTTGATTGCACTGCTCAGAAAAGATTGCGCACCCAAGTTGGCATGCCTGCAATTTAGCCATGATATATAGACCATGATTTTGGCATCTCGTGCTGTGGTTTAGGTAGGCTTCTGTTTTGGGGAAGGATTGAATAGGAATTGTGATTTTTTTGGTCCTTTTTATGCAATTTCATAATAGCTCAATAACTCAGTGATGGCATTATGAATTTTTGCTTGTTTCTTACAAACGTATAATAATTTATCACCGATAACTCTGACAAACTTTTCACTGAAAAATATTCCAGGAGGGACACAAACCACATTGCATAATCACTGCAAATCTAAATGTTGGAGGTTCTCTAGATCAAAAAGCAAGCAACGGGAACACCGGGATATTGATTAATGGGCGAGAGATTACAAAATCTGAACTGCAAATGCTTAAGGTTTGCAATCATATACTCACGCGCTTTTTTAGATAATGGAGAAAAATCCGGCTTCATCCCTCTACTACTAGTTCTTGACATATGTTGGTATCTTTATTTTTTTAATAAAAATTAAAAGAAATGTTTGATTTCAGTTGGCAGGAGTCCAATGTGCTGGGAAACCTCACTTTTGGGTGAATGCTGATGGGACTTACCAAGAGGAAGGCCAAAAAACTGTTAAAGGAAAGATCTGGGATAAGGTAACCCTGAGATTCTTCTTGTCTAGATGGTGTTGTAATTTTTAGGTTGGTAACTAACCAGCTTTGAATTTGTCTGCATTTCTCACCAGCCTATAGTGAAGCTTCTTAGTCCTGTTCTGTCATTGCCAACACCCAACAAAGCAGCTAATCAATCTGGCGAAGATGCTGTTAACATAGTAAATCGAGTCATCCCTGACTATCTGGAACAAAGAACAACCCAGAAGCTTTTGTTGGTTGGGTCAGGGGCAAGCACCATAATCAAGCAGGTACGTATGCTTATGGACATCTAGCATATTCATGTGCACAAATAACTAAATCGGTCGGCTGTAGTAAGATTACCACCCAAGATATAATTTGCAGTTTGCACATGTATAGTGATAGAATATCCTGCACCCCCACAAATTTGCAAAGTTGTATAGAAATTGATTTTGAATCTATTGAATACATCAGGCCAAGTTCTTGTACAAGAGTGGCAAGCCATTTTCGGTGGATGAGCGCGAAGACCTGAAACTTATCATACAAAGCAACATATACAACTACCTTATCATATTACTTGAAGGCCGTGAGCGGTTTGAAGAGGAATCTTTAGCTGATAGAAGAAAAATCAGTCCAAGTGACCCATCTAGCTCTGGTATGACCAAATCTTCATGGAAGTTTTACAACTTCCATTCTTTCCTTTTGCCCTTCTTTCGGCATAACTGAGTAATTGAAATGCCAAGTGTTCCAGGACACTCCTAATTATTTGTTTTTTTGTAAAACAATGTACAAAAAGGAAATGTTCCTATATTTGTAATATGCCTACTACAAGTGATTTTTCCTTTTTTGTTTTTCTGCAGGCTGTTGTGAATCTGGAGTATGTGATGAAGTCACTGAGTACTCCCTTATTCCACGCTTGAAAGCATTCTCGGATTGGATTCTTAAAGCAATGGCTTTAGGTAATCTTGAAGACATCTTTCCTGCAGCAAGCCGTGAATATGCACCACTTGTTGAGGAACTATGGAAAGATCCTGCTATTCAAGCTACATATAGAAGAAGAAGTGAACTGCCGTTCCTTCCACCCACTGCCAATTATTTTCTTGACAAGGTATTATTTGCTAATGGCAGTCCCTTTTTTTCTTTGGTTTTATAGAGTTGGAAGTGTTGATTTGCATAGTGCGAATAGCGATTGTTCATTTTTAACCTTTTGTCTGAAATGACCAGGCTGTTGATATTTCTCGAACGGAATATGAGCTCTCAGATATGGATATACTGTATGCTGATGGGATTACATCCTCAGATGGGTTAGCATCAACTGAATTCTCTTCCCCTCAGCTGTCTTTGGGTGGACTGGGTGTTGACGAGTCTGATGCACAAGACACCTTGCTAAGGTTAGTTCTTCTGTCACATAAGGCAATGTTAGTCTGCTATTACCTGCCTCACTGAGTCTGCTATTATAGTGTGTTGTCTCATTGTCTGGTATTATCTTGACTAGACACTTCTGTAAATCTGTAAAAATGTGAACAAGATCAGGTTTTTTTTCTTTTTGATGTATGGGCATGAGGTATGTTCATGTAGAACCTATTAAACCTTACATGCATGAGTATGTTTCACTTATACTTATATTCTAGGTTGAATTCTTTATTGCTATTGGGATCTCAACTGCATTAGGTGTAATAATGATGGCGGAATTTTGATTTGTTTTCAGGTACCAGTTGATCAGGATAAACAGTAGAGGTTTGCATGAGAACTGCAAATGGTTGCAAATGTTCGATGATGTAAGGCTTGTTATCTTTTGTGTTGCCGCTAGTGACTATGATGAGTACTACGAAGATGCAAACGGTACCATTGTCAACAAGATGGTAGAGAGCAGGCAACTGTTTGAGAGCATTGTCCTTCATCCAACATTTGAGCAAATGGATTTCCTTCTACTCCTCACCAAGTCTGATCTCCTGGAGCAGAAGATCAACGATTCCCCACTGACCTCATGCGACTGGTTCGACGACTTCACTCCTCTGATCAGCCGCAACCTTCTCAGCAGCAGCAGCAAGTCCACGCGCAGCAGCACTGGCGCGACGCTGCCCCAGATGGCTGCACACTACATGGCGACAAAGTTCAAGAGGCTGTTCCAGTTGCTGACTGACCGTAAGCTCTACGTGTCCTATGTGAACACCCTGGACCAGGAGTCGGTCCGGTTGGCGATCCACTACGGGAGGGAGATCGTCAAGTGGGAGGAAGAGAAGCCCGTGTTCGGTGCCAGCGAGACGGTCTACAGCGAGGAGCCGAGCTCCTTCACTCACTGACTTTGACACCCGCCTTTGTTGTGTGCAGAAGAAGAGATGTAAATATTTGTGCAGCACCCTTTCTTTGTGGTACCCCCATTCCTTTTGTTCGTAGCTGATCATCGGCTTGTATGGCTGTTTAGTTAATTTGCAAGTAGAATGATGAGGCGCGAGAAGACCCGGCCCGTTCTGATTCTTGTAAATTGTATTATGAGTTGCTTGCATTTGATGCATTAGGCTGGCGCAAAGAGTCAGATCATCGGCTTGTATGGTTGTTAATTTGTGTTATATTGTCTGGTTCGTCGTCAGTGATCGTACCATGTGAGGATGCATTGTCCGTTGCTGAGATATTTTGGTGGGCGATGCGTCATCTGTTGTTGAGATGTTTTGCACTTTTGCTGGGAGATATCCATTATTGAGATGGGTCATCTTCAATTGTGGGCCTGAAAGTAAATCCTTTGCGCCCGCAAACTTGCAAGATACGACGTAGATGGTTTATGGAAATTTCTTTTTAAATAGAACATGAAATCAGACAGACTACTCGTGAGGCGTTGCTCCAGAGGAGCAAGAGCCGTGTTTGGCAGGGCACCTCCGCAGGAGCTAGAGCCGGGGATAAGCCCTGCCAAACAGGCCCCGAGTGTTCAGATGGCTCTCTTAAGCATATTGTTCCTCGAAATTGAGCATTGATTTCGGATTGGAATTTCTGTGGATGTTAGGTTTGTCAGCGGACGCAACCTAGTGGTCAGATGGCTGTCTTTAGCAGACTGTTCCTCGAAATTGACAATTGATTTCGGATTTGAATTTCTGTGGATGTTACTGTATGTTTTATTATGTTTTGGGTTTCGTCAACTGTAAAAATTCGAATTGCATTTCAGGCAATTGACAGAACTTCACCTCTGACTGGTGCATTGCTCCGCGTGCATGTCCAGTTCACACTCGTGCCTTTGCTCATGGAGCGAAAGAACCGGGAAAGTGAGCAATCAGAAACATGGCATTGCAATTTACAACATTTACACAAAACCATGGCGCGCATGCAGTTATTCCGCGTGTACAGTAGTACAGCACGCGCCGTCGGACACGACCGACACGACGGGGCGACCAAGGGGTCCGCATCAGCTCAGCTTGGCGCGAACCGGTCGAGGAGCAGGTAGAGCGTGGTGTCGGACATGGCGCCGCCACACCTCGCGACGTCCCCTCCCTGCTTGTCCCTCCCGGCGGCCGCCGCGTCTCCTCGCACCGCCTTGTTGCTGTCGCCTCGCCCCGGCTTCTGCTGCTGGAGCTGGAGCGCCGGCCGCGGGTCCTCGCCGAGCCCGTGGGTGGCGGCCGCCGCCTGCCACATCCCCTGCAGCGCCGCCGCGAGCTCGCCGAACCACGCGCCGGCCAGGTTGGACGCCGTCGTCGAAGCCATGGAGATGCAGATGCTTGCTTGGATCCGACGCAGAGCAGCTCAGAGCTGAGCTGAAATTCAGCTGGTGTGTTGTGGGACTATGTGCCGTGCGTGTGACAGTGTGTGTGAGAGAAACAAGAAGCCTGGATGTGGATGAGTTGTTGGTTGCCGTGTCTGTCAGGGGTCCTTGATGGCCTGTGCTTATATAGATGCCGCGCGCCGAAGCCCGAACGGATCAGGCCTTCTAGACGTCGATGGCGCGGCACGGCGCGGGCCCCGCACGGCCGGCCACGACAGCGGCCGCGAAACGGTAGGCGTGCCCGCGGTTTCGCCTCAGCTCGCCGGCGGGTCGCTGGCGGACCGGGGGGCCCCGGCTCGTCAGCTGCCAGTCTGTGAGGACTTAGGCGCGTGCGTGCGGCGTGCCATGCCGGATGCCGCGGCCCTCGTCCTCGTCGTTCTTATCGCGACGACGTGTCGCCGTGTCGGTGTCACCGTGTGCTTCCCGGATGGCCCGTGCCGGCGACCGGCGACCCCTCCAAAGGGGAGGAAGCGTGTGCGTGTAACCTCGCTCGCTGCTGATAAACCTTCCATCTCCGGTCCGCTGTCGCCATCGCAGCGTAAACGTGCGCTGTGGCGCGGCGCAGCGAATTCTAAATTCTAATACGGTGGATGATGGTGATGCTACCAGCTGTAGCCGCCGTGGTGCAGGGTCGTGCCGTTCCGGCCGGGCGGCCGGCCTTCCGCCGTCGCCTTCTTCTCGAAGGATCTCGGCAGCCAGCCAAGCCCATGACCAGCAGCGGAGAACAGATTCGATCCGCGCCGCGGACATGCCGGGCCGGATGCCCGGATGGATCCATGGGCCTTCAGCATCCTCTCTTCGGCCTGCCGCCGAGTCCGCAAGCCCACGTGTCGCCCCAACCCGTAGCCCAACAGGACAACGGGCCCGGCCCCGGATCGTTTTTCTGCCCCCTTAATCAATCGTCTAGCAAAGCAAACTCTCCAAGTCGGGTATGATCCGAGCTGGACCCGCGGAGTGGCCCCACGGCCTTGACTTATTTCCGCTATCCCTCCGCATCGTCCCCGTCCGTCTGACCGCCTCGTTCCCGTGCCCACCGCCGCCCAAATCCTAACCCTAGCCTTGCCGCCGGCGAGGCCAGGAGCGCCCGGAGCCCCCCGCCCGACGACCCCGGTGACGACGTCCCCAGCGGCTCTATCGCCGCAGGGGAGATTTAGGTAACGCCCCCGCCCGCCCCGTCCCACGTAGGGCTCGGTCAGATCCGATCTGCTGGCACTAGCTGCAGGAGTCCCGGCGACGTACGGCTCCCCCTAGGGTTAGGGCTTTCTTGGGTTCTTCAGTTTTTTATCTGTTGTGGGCGTGGGTGCGCGATGTATGCCTCGTGCTCTTGCCATGCGTGCTTCGTCTGACACTGCAGTGTGGTCTTTAGTCTTTTAATTAATTATTGTAATTTCTGATATCCTTTGATGACTAGTATAAAAAAGAAAATAAAAGAATTGTGTCTATAGCAGTAGATTTGAGGTTTAGTGATGAATGCGGCATGCAATCCTTATGTTGTCGCTTTGCTAGTAATCGTGCCGTTACGCTTGTGGCTTCCTGTTTGGCCAATCTGGTGACAATGTCTAGTACTTGAGCCGTATACGACTAAAAAGAATCAATGTGGCCGTTGGTTACTGGTGTGTTTCATGTTCTGCTACTCCAAAATGTGGGATATATTTTTAGCGCTAGCGTCTGCTCAGAGAATGGTCTGTCTTTATGCTCTTCTTCCGTTTAAAAGTTGTTTACCTTTTTAGGCGCATTGCTTCCCAGTGACTGTACTTTCTTTTTCTAATTCTAGTGTATGACTTCTTTTGTGATGCTTTGCTTTGCGTTAGCGATATACTGACCTGTGACTTGTCCTCAGCGATATACTGACCTGTGACTTGTCCTCATCCTGCATTACGGTGACTGTATACATTCTATTTCTAGTATGGCTTCCTGTGTGCTGCTGTGCTTTGCTTTAGTGGTATATCGTCATCTTGTGCTTGCAGCTGCTTGTCGAGCTCTTGGTGACTTGGTAATAATCTGCATTTCAGGTGAATGCCACAAGCATGATGACTCAAACCTTGCAAGGGAAAGTTATGGCCTACACACCGAGCAGCTTTCCTATTCAGCAACAGATGTCGCCGGAGGATCTTGAAATGCTTCATCTGGATAACATGAACCAGGATACCTCTCCGATTCGCGCCATCATTATTCAAAAAATGTAAGTTTGGAAACCACCAGCATCGATACTAGTTTTGACTTGCAAATTTGTTGTTGCTGTTAGTATATGCGGCTGTGCGCTTGTTGTGAGCAAGAAATCATGTCACTACTGATACATGCTAGCAGTTCACCCAGCTACTTCACTGCATTTTAGTTATTGGAATGTTGATCTTCATGCTTGCTAATATATTGATGTTCATATTTGTCTACGTAGCTTGCGTTGTTCTATGGTTCCATGAACATAAATGCAGTGAGTTCATTTATTCACATGAATGTATTGTTGGCCGTATGATTAAAATTTGGCAATCCCATCCCCCACTTGAAATACACGACCAATATTCTCAATTCGTACTTACCTATTATCAGAATCATCCATTCTTTGTGTAGCTCAGAAGATCGTATGGTGCATTTTCTCATGTGGGCACACAATTCTGCAAAAAAAAAAAAAATTGTATGAAAATATCTGATAGTTACAACTAAGACTTTGTTTCTGTGTATTCCCCTGTGTTCACCTAGGTAGCCTGCGCCATTACTTGTCTATAATGCTTTCATATTGAATTGTTACATCTTACAAGGCTGAATTCTTCATTTTATTTGTATTTTGCTGATACAGCATAGTTAGTCTTATACCTCAGTATATGGTGTTGCACTGTATTCATGAGCATCTAGGTGCAGATTTTACTTGTTTTTATTCAATTTTACTTGATTCCCAGCCCAGATAAACAATTTTTTTAGTTATATATATGCTTCCCATTTTGAGTACTAGTTCATTTTTATCTATCTTTAGTGTACACCTTTTCCTGCATAAGCCAGTGGTTTGAAATTTCTTCAGGAATACTAAAGAGTGGTTTAAATGGAGATAGTGGATTCATTCTTTTCTTTCCTTTTGCCTTTGTTTCCTTTTTCACATTGTATATTCTGATGTTTCTTTTCTTCTATCTATCCAGTGAAGCATGCCTGAGAAAGATGGAACAATTTTGTAACTTGTGCCCAGATTCATGTCTGAAAGCTTCAAGAATCATTGACAACATGCTCTACAAAAATGCTCCACAGGTGTGTTCTTTCATTCTGCCATGCAACCACAATACATTATATAGCACGCTAGTATCTTTTATTTAGGTCTGAAAATCTTGCTCTTGAATTACATCCTAAAAAAATCTACAAAGCTGCCCCTGGGAGTAGAGATGATCCTCCCAGGCGTAGCGCAGTGGAGACGAGGATGGTGGCTGGATCTAAAACTTAGAGCTGCAATACCATGTTACAAATAAGGGAGACTTAATTGGATGATAGTATTGAGGCCCAATGGCGACTATATATATAGTACATGAGAGACATAAGAGGGAAACCCTAGACTAGGAGATTACGGTAATACCCTTGACCATTATACCTTAAAAATAACAGTGCATGTTTGACCCATGCTGAGTGATAATAATTTAGCTATTGTTGTACCTTGTGTCCTTTTTTTTCTGTTGCATCTTTCATATCTTAGTTACGTAACTCAATAACTAAATATCTTACTAGTTTATGATGCCTTGCTAACATCTACCCATTTTCTATATCAGCTCCATTTTTACATGGATCTTGACACAGTAGAGGGCAGGGTGAATGATTTGCTCAGATCTTTTCCATATAGAAACCAAAGAGATCCATGGATATCTTCAGCAGTTCCATCAACAAAAGATTTGCGGCAGCTGCCTGGGATACAGATGACAGACTCTAGTGTCTATCATAATAGAGTTGCCCCTGCTTTTACTAATTTGCCTGCACATTCAGGAGATGTACCTCCACATACTGTGTTCACTTCTCAGAGTAAGTTGGGATGATGTGCTCTACTTTTATCTCTCAACATACCTTTAAATTTATCATTATTCGTTGGCTATATTTTGGCAGGATATGTACCACAGAATCACAACATGGCCGCTGCTAATTTAGCTCTAGTTGCAAGGCCTGAAAGCTTTATGAGCACCATAGTTGCTCCATCTGTGTCAGGACTTCCTAACTGTATTTCAGGCTTTGGTGGGATTGATAGTGCTGGATTGCAAAATGGCTATTTAAAGGACCATTTTCCAGGTAAATTGTTTCACATCCCTTGCCTTACATATTTGATTAGAAATGACCATTTGTACTTCACAAATTTGGTCTGGTCATCTCATTAAAATGGTATGAGCAAATTTTGCCAGGTGATGCTTATCGTGTTGATAGTCCACAACCGTCTATGTCTGGGAGTTCCAGTCCTTTATCAGCTGTGTGTGATCCAACCACAAGTTCGGGTGCAATGATAAGATCATCAATGGACTCTATCTCTAAAGCAAGTGGGCAAAAACTCTTTACCGGTGAAGGACAATTGTTTCAACAATACAGAGAATATGAGAAAGAGTTAGATGGTGCATGGAGCCACCCAGCAGAGAAGGCAGTTCACTCAAATAGGACAACTCAAAGCAATGAAATCTATTTCAAAGAAGAATGGGGACCTGACACATTCATGGAAATGAAAAGAAAACTATTGGCACGCCTCGGACTCTAGAGATTCGTGCAGGGAGATATACTCAAATTTAAGCACACCCAATGCTCAGTATCAGTGCTTCATGTCTGATTGTGATCCTTGTGACCCTGAGAGAGAAATTGTTGAGAGATCTGAACAGACATCAAATAGCACAGTATCAAAGCCAACTTCACCTATTTCAGATGAATCTTCTGGCAAGCGTCCAGCAAAACGCCTGAAGGCTGATGCTCCCACTCTTGTCAATGTCAATCAAGTAGAGAGTCCAAAGGAGCAAAAACCTGTTATGAATGAGAATCATGTATCTGGTGGTGAAACAGTACAATCAGAAATCACAGAATTACCTGCAAAATCACCTTGCAGTTCATCGGGAGACATTAATGCTGACAGCAATAATACGCTTGAACAGGGTAGTAAAGATGCACCTAACATGGAGATTGTTAAGGAAGAGGAATTGTACTGTGCAAAGGGTGACATTGAGATGAAAGAGGCTAAGACTGTTGCATTGGATCAGACATCAAGAGGGGTCAATTTAAGTTCAAGGCGAAAGAGAGGGGCTTCTATACTTTATGCATTAACTGCTGAGGAGCTTAGAGATCACATGAGTAGTCTAATAAACCAGCATACTTGTCTGGTGAGTGGATAACCCTTTCAAACTCCTGTATTTTCTGTGACTTTGTTTGATCCTGTAGAACCAACATATTATACCGCCAAGCAGTCAGATAGTTGTATGATAATCACACTCATGGCTATTATATGACTGTCTAATCATACTCATGGCTATTATATAACTGTCTTACTGCTTGGCGGCATAGTACATTGATGCTACAAGATCAAACCAGAATCTTGTGTATGATTTATCCATGGTTAAGAATATAAATTTTCTTCCAGTCAGATTGGATCAATTGTATCATTTAGTATTTTAACATAATTTCCTTGTTTTTTTCAGAGCAAAGTGACACCTCAAGAATTCCCATCAATTGATGGATTGCCTGATCAGAATACATGCAGTTTGTGTGGGATGGAGAGGCTTCTTTTCGAACCTCCTCCACGATTTTGTGCTCTCTGTTTCAAAATTATAAATTCTGCAGGGTGCTATTATGTTGAAGTTGAAAATGGAAGTGAGAAAACTTCTATATGTAGCAAATGCCACCATCTTAGCAGTTCAAGAGCTAAATATCAGAAGAAATTTAATTATGCAGAAACAGATGCTGAGGCTGAGTGGGTAATGTTCTTTTCATATGTCAGGTTATCCTTATGTCTAGTAAATTCTCATCTTTTCTTTGCTTGCATTTTTCAGTGGGTACAGTGCGACAAGTGCAAAGCTTGGCAGCATGAAATCTGTGCTCTTTTTAACAGAAAGTGTGAAGGGGCAAAGGCTGAGTATACTTGCGCAAAATGTTTTTTGAATGAAAAGGATAGCGGAGATATTCAGGCACTGGAGTCATCCACTGTTCTTGGGGCACAGGAGTTACCAAGAACTAAGCTAAGTGATCATATTGAGCAAAGGCTTTCAGAGAGGCTTGAGCAGGACAGGCAACAGAGGGCGAGCGCCTCTGGAAAAGTTGCTGAAGAGGTATTTATCATACACACTAATGACATAAGAAATTATTAAGGCTCATTCATACCTGCTACTAGTGAGTGTCTAGTCATGTTAAATCCCCATATAAATCTTATTCCTATTCCCATTTTCTATATCCTTGTGTTCTACTGGGCCTTTTGTTCTCTTGTTGATCACATAAAAGTGTTAATCCTTTTTTTTTACTATAACGTTCTATGTTGATCCAAGTAATCAGTACTGAAAACACGTCTGCACTCAAAATCCATTTCATTTGTTTCTTTATATAATCACACAGTTTTGTTGTTAATCTGTATCTTGTCGTGGCATTGGTGATGCACATTTAATTGGCTTGATGATGCATCAGAATTCTATTAAGTTTATTATACATAACAAATAGTCTGCTTTACACATTTTTTCTTTTTGACTTTTAGTATTATTGAGTCTGTTTTGCTCGCATTGCATTTCTTTGGACATCAAGAAAGGATGGTCAACACACTAGAGTCCATGTAGTTTTTAACCCACTAAATTCATGTAGCTATCCAGGTCTTGTTACAATCCTATCCAAACCTGGGAAGGTTAGAATTTTGGGAAAAATATTGTGATCATTAATGCTTATTCAAATAAGACCACACGTGTTCTTAGAATAGTCAGACTGTCTATGTTGGTTCTAATTTTATTTGCTTCAGTCTATAGGAACTGCATTGTAAACTGATGTCAACTCCACGGAAGGTTTATTTACTTGTCTTCTGTGCTCCAATTTTAGGTACCAGGTGTGAAAGGTCTTACAGCTAGAGTAGTTTCTTCAGCTGAAAGAATACTACAAGTCCAACCACGTTTTCGTGATTTTTTTAAACAAGAAAAGTATCCTGGGGAATTTCCATACAAATCGAAGGTACATGATGGTTGACTGATTAACCAATATCCCATTTTTCAATGTCTAGTAGATAATTATAGCTATCTTGTACTAATTTCTGTGTTTTATATAGGCCATTCTCTTGTTTCAAAAGATTGAAGGTGTGGATGTTTGCCTGTTCGCCATGTATGTACAAGAGTATGGTTCAGATTGCCCATCACCAAATCAAAGACATGTTTATCTTGCATATATCGATTCTGTCAAATATTTCCGGCCTGAAATCAAATCTGCAAGTGGAGAAGCTCTTCGTACCTTTGTGTATCATGAAATTTTGGTATGAGAATTCCAAATCATCAAACATATTTTTGTCTTTGCTTGCGCAAATGAGTTTATGTTTGTAGAATCTAATCATTCCAATGCTTATTGTAGATTGGTTATCTGGACTACTGCAAGAAACGAGGATTTGTAAGCTGTTCCATATGGGCTTGCCCATCTACGAAGCGTGATGATTATGTTTTATATTGTCATCCAACAGTACAAAAGATGCCCAAGTCTGACAAGCTTCGAAGCTGGTTTGTCTTTCTAACATGATATTGAGGAATTAAAACTTTTATTCTATATGGGCCTTAATTTGTCAGTTTTATTTATAATTTTAGGTACCAGAACTTGATCAAGAAGGCCGTTAAGGAGGGCGTTGTTGTGGAGCGTAATACACTCTCTGACTTCTTCCTTCAGCCTACAAATGAGTGCAAGGCCAATATTTCAGCAGCATGCTTGCCATATTGTGAGAATGATTTCTGGCCTGGAGAAGCAGAGAGGCTCCTTGAGAAGAAAGATGATAATACTTCACAGAAGAAAGAGACACAGGTAGGAAGGCTCTTGCGTGTTGCCAAACGCGACGACAGAAAAGGAAACCTTGAGGATATTTTGCTTGTGCACAAGGTTAGTTTGTTTTATTTTTTATCTTGCCTTCCAGCATTTTGTGGGAACCTATCATCTTATTTTTCATTATTGCCAGCTTGGGGAAAGGATGCGCACCATGAAAGAAGATTTCATTATGCTTTGTCTGCAACAGTTTTGCAAGCACTGTCACCAGCCTGTCGTATCTGGCAAAAGTTGGGTTTGCACTAGCTGTAAAAATTTCCATCTTTGTGACAAGTAAGTATTTCTTCTGATTACAGTTCTCTTTTTTTACTCTGCTCAGAATGTTGTCTAAAACTTTGATGGCTATATAGGATGGCATCATGATTGTTTAAAACAGAACATCAGTGGAAATACCTTTTGTTGAAAAAAAGAGTTTGTGTACTTAGTTAACCTCGTCAACTTCCTGCTTCTTGCATTCATTTGCCAATTTAAAACCAAAGATTGAGTTTTTGTACTGTTAACCTCGATCAGTAAGGCAGCAATTATTTTGATTATTGATTATGTGTTGATTTTCATAGGTGTCATGCAGAGGAGCAGAATACGGCACAGAAGGACAGGCATCCGGCCACCACAAAACAGAAGCATGCATTTCAAAGAGTATGTAGGCAAATTTCATTTCTTGGCTTGATTTTTTTTTCAATCAAATAAGTTGACAACTTGCTTATATTCAATAGATGCATGATGGATCAATATACTAACCATAGTGGCTAACTGTCCGACAGATGGAGGTAGAACCTCTTCCGGAGACTGATGATGGAGATCCGACAATGGAAAGTAAGTATTTTGACAGCAGGATCGATTTCTTGAAGCACTGCCAAGACAATCAATTCCAGTTTGATACCCTCCGGCGGGCAAAGCACTCTACAATGATGATTCTGTATTATCTACACAATTCGACCTGCTCTGCTTGCCATCGTGCTGTGGATCAATGCTTGGTGTGGCGGTGCCTAGAGTGCCTGGGCTGCACCTTTTGTGATCAATGCTATAAACAAAATGGTCAAAGTTTGCATAGTCATGAATTAAGGCAGATTCACACTAGTGAAACTTTGCAGAAGCACACTCTACAGGTACCCATTTTAAATTAGCAACTGGACCTTCTAAATATCTTGTTGTGAAGTTTTTATTTCTGCAGCGGCTTCTGGCATTCTTTGTTTTGGTGTTCTTTTCATAAGATGATTTTGGGGCATCGGTGGCAGATCTCATGTGGATCGCACCATCATTCTTAGAAACAAAACTTGCTCAAATGATTTTTTCTTTAAGAAGTTATATGTGAAATTTGCAGTTGCATATTCTATAGTGTGAAGGTGTTCATCTTTCTGTTAATTGCTTATGTTCACATAAATGAGATCTGATTCCATAGCTCTTGGCTTCCATACATGATAATTCTGTGTTCTAATGAATCTTGTGCATGTTTCCAAAGCAGGATTACATTGATGGCCTTGTTCATGCATCGAGGTGCTATGATCCACGTAACTGCACACATCCAGTTTGTTTAACCCTGAAGAAATTGTTCTTCCATGGTGTACGATGTGATATCCGTGCCCGCAATTGGAGTGGTTGCAATAAGTGTGTCTTTATGTGGAAACTTCTGCTCTGCCACTCAAAAGATTGCAACGTTGTAGACTGTCTGGTGCCTAGATGCAGGTAAAACCATGGCTCATCTGAACTATTGAGCGCTTCTCTCTTGAAACCCGTCTGCATTGCTTGATAGGCCCTCTTTCACGCGTTAGCTCACCCACAATTGTTTCGTGGTCCTTGTAGGGATATAAAGGCATACATAGCTGAAAAGTTGAAGCTTGTTGGTCCTGTGTTGTAGCAGGCCATCTGGTCAGAAGCCGTCTTCTTGTATAATCTAGTACTGGATTTCCCCCCTCCTTAACCAGTAAAATTTGTTGATGAAAATGCAATAAACTGCGGTTGGCCATCGCTGGTGGATGGAACTGCAAGGTAAATAAAGTGGTGGCTTAGTGCTGCTGGTGAGGTGGCCGGCTTCATAGGAGTCATTTGTTCTGTCGGTTCCCCTGGGCATTGGTAGAAGGAAGGTGGCTTCTGTGTGCTCTGCGCTGAGCTTCATGTTGCTACATATGAGCATGGTCTGGAGTCTGTCTGATTTCCTCCAATGTCACTGAGAGGATCACCAACGGAAGCTTACATAGGCAATCTGACATTGGTTTTAGTGTCCGTACATACCATGTACATATATAGTCTGTCATCCTTCGCGACTCATAGATGTACCAACAGAAATAGGTGGTTTGGTTTTAATTTCATTGTCAAAGTTTTGTTCCAGAATGTGTCGAGCAAGGCCACATTTTTGTTAAAGTGTTGCAGTGCTGTGGCAGCATCTAAAAATTCAATGAATGTGTATAGTCACCCTCCCGCTGTTCACGGCTAGTCTGACTATCATGAGAAGAATGTGTTGTAACCTTTTGTAGATCGTATCATCTACAAAAGGTTATATATTCAAGCTTCTCATGATTTTTCCCCAAGGATGAGAAGAATGTGTTGTAACCTTTTGTAGATCTACGATCTACAAAAGGTTATATATTCAAGCTTCTCATGATTTTTTTCCCCAAGGAAATTAAATTGCTCTCTAGCTGATGCACCTCCACGCGATCAAACTGACATTGTGACACATGCAACCAAACTGACACTGTGGCACAATTCACATGCAACCCTTGGCCCTGGCGATCCCAGAAGAATTAGTAAGGGGACTCGCTAACCAGGATCATTTTCTTTTGTGAAAAATATAACCTCTTTCATATATTATGGTGTTATAAGATTTGATTACTAGCATTTAAAACATACTCCTTTTACTGTGCATCTAGATATAGTGAATATTTAAGTGCATAGTAAAAACTATATATCTAGAAAAGTGAAAATGTCTTATAATTTAGAATGAATGGGGTATTTTTTTAAAGTTTGACTAAATATTTTTTAAGGAAAATGTGCCTCCAGCATGACACTAAAAAATAATGTTATATTTTTGGAATAAACCAAATCCATAATGAGCATCATTCTTTTGAGATGGGAAAAAAGAAAGAAAGAAAGAAAATAAGAGTAGAAAGAACGATTACGAAAAGGTCTGAATCCATGATTCAAACAAAGATGAGCTTGCTTTCTTTGCTCCGTGAATCAACAGAGACAACTCTCGTGAGAAACCTCTTTACAATTCTCGACATTAGCAGGCAAGTTGTTGAAGATTAGACCATTTTTAATCGTCTAAATTGTCCAGCACGTAAAGATTAGTGCATTCATAAAGGAAGGAGAGCCAAGTTGGTCTTTTAATGAATTAAGAGCTTCCGCAAGCGAACGCTAGACCAGTTGGTCGCTTTGCACCTTGCCGGCCAGAGTTCGAACCTCCACGAGGCGGATTTGTTGGCCGGAGGAGGCGCAGTTTATCTGTGCGTTGAAAAAAACCCCTCGTCTACCCCACGCCAAAGCACAGGTCTAAGACCAGCCTAGCTCACAGGAGCTGCGGTGTCGCTGTGTATGGGTGGGGCAGAGGTTTGAGGGTTTTCTCGACTTGCGTGAGAAGATCTTCTTCTTAAGCACAATGCTCAGGGGTTGTCTTACCCCCACGGGTTGAGTTTTTTTTTTATGAATTAAGAGCTTCCTTGGTTGTGCAGTTTGATGGTATCACAATGTTGATCGATCCCCAACAATCTCTTGCAAAGTTACAATTCAAGAACAAGTCCCCCACTTCCAGAAATGATGCCAGTATATTTATCTCTTGCAAAGTTGCAATTCAAAAACAAATTCCAGAGTTGTCCTAACACTACTAAAAACGTTTTTTCCTACTAAGAAAAGACTTTTGGAGAAGCTCATTAATAAGGCGGCCATTTTTTGGTGCCACACCTCTAGAAATGAAAAGGCAAGCCCAAGCAAAAATCCGCCTTTGCCTCTGTTAATCATTCACAAAGCCAACTATATAGATAGTCCATTATTAGTAGAAGCGATTGAGTAAAGACACCCGGCTTTCTTAATGGATTTACAAAGATAGCCAGGTAACGTCAACCTGCTCTATTAATAGTCCAAGAAGATGACTATTAACAGAGGCGACCGTTTAGGACGTCTATCCCTGATAACAGATTTATAGAGGTGACTAGGTAACGATGAACACGAACACATCTAGGCCCCAATGTGGAGAGTCTGGGGTTTCAGTGATTGATGAATGTAAGTAATTGTCACTAAGGTGTGTTTTGTAGAAATAAATTTGTATTTTAATTAGTCACATTGAGAACCACCACATGTCTTGGCCCCAAGACTTCTTATGAAGAATGTATGACGTAAAGATAATAAAAGTCTTGACCTCAAGATTTGGTTTACAAAGAATGCATGGCGTAAAGGATATTTGTGAATGCTAAAGATACTCGAGCGAATGTAGACTACTAGTATCGTTTGCCTTTAGTGTCTCGCGGAAGCGCTGGTTGCTTGCTCATGATCCCTATTTCCACAGGCAACACACATCGTTCTGCTCTTGTTGTAATGACGAATACAACCGAAAACACTATGAGAACTCTAACAAAACTGACAGCTATCAGAAACACGGCACCGCAAACCACAAGCCATCAACTCCCGGTGTCTAATACTGGTTCCGGCGGCTTTAGTGTCACTTGTGCGTACACTGTCTCCACATCCGCTTGCACATGTTTTACAGCTCATCCTAGCATCCACAGCTATAAGAACAGACAAAACGAATCCCTGCATCTAGTAAATGTGAGGGAGAAATTTGTGTGAGATCATGGAGTTGGCGTGTCAGCTGCGGCGGTATAAGCAACGAAGCAGTAGCAATAGGAATTGATGAACGGGAAAATAGAAGGCGGACTTGAGGAAGGATTAGCGCCATGTTCGCTCGGCTTATAAGCCGTATTTTTTCAACTAACGAACAATATTTTTCTCTCACAACAAATCAGCCAATAGTACTTTCAGCCATGATTTATCAGCCAAGCGAACAGGACATAGATTCATCGTCTGTTTTCTTATTTCTTCCACGCATGCCGGATCCAATTCGGAGAGTAATGCCCTGTTTGGATCCGGCAATGATTGCAAGGTACTAACACTAGTACAGAACATGCAATCACTACCGAATCTAAACACACCATTAACACTAATACAGTACGAAACAAGGTACTAACACGTACTAGTACGGAACAAATTCCATGTACCGATACAACAAATGACTAGAAAAATTTCATGAGCCATGTTATATATAATCACATTAATTTTTGTTTCTTTTGGGCACTTACAAGAAACATATCATACGGTACTTGATTTATTTGAGTACCCAGACATGAAAATGCATTCTCGATAGAAGAATTTTCTACTGTATTTGGAATTTTTCCTGCATACACAGTGGAGTAGTGTGCTTGCATCGACAGATTAAAGGAAATCACTGAATTTTCTCATGTTTCGTGGGCTGCACCCAATTTTTTTCCCCATTATTCCGAATGAACAGAAAGAAGTTGAATACGGCCGACTGCGCGTTTCTGGACAGAGAACCTTCTCAAGTTTCGTGCAAATCAAATCAGCACTAAGAATTTGCGTACGCACTGCACGCCTGTGGACTGGTTTGATGGTCCGGGGGTTGATCTGTAATGAAGGTAAAAAAAATTCAAGTCACAGACCGAAAAAAAATTAAAGAAGGGCGTCAGAGAGAACATGATACTACATATAATCTAGGGTTTTAGTTTTAGGGCGGTCATTGACGCCATAGAAAAATGTTTCTCTTTGAATAGATCTTCTCTTTGCTGCAACAAATTTGTGAAATCCCCTAGTTTTATTGACAACGTGGATATGGACTACAACTGTTCCATTTGCAGAGCTCCAACTACCACCCCCAAAAAAAAAAAATTCGTGGATTTAGAACAGGATGCACGAGAGCATGCATATGAATAATTGTGTTTATAGACTAAATATTTAATCTACAAACTTCAGCTATAGAATAGTCTATTTTTGCAGGATTCTAAGTCCCTATTTGGATGAATAGGACTAACATTTAGTTGACTAATTTTTAGTCCATAAAAATCCAAACAGACAAACTAAAATATGGTAACCAAGTCAAGAACTAGTTAGTCCACTATCGTAAACAGAAGCTAATAGGGATTACTCCATCCGTCCCAAAATATAAGGTATTCAAGTAATTTTACAACATATTATATGATAAGACAAATGATGCGTATAACCATCTTTAGTTACTCTATTTGAATAGGTGATAGACATTAATGGTAGATATACATGTGAATGTTGCCTTTTGGAGTGTTTATTCACCTAGAATATCTTATAATTTGATACAGATTTTGAACTATAGATCCATTATATTGTAGGATGGAAGGAGTAATCATTAATCACATGGATCAAACAAAACCTAACTGTCGTATGAGCCAGTTATTCGACTGGCAATTCGCAAGGCACACATATTGGGGCTACCTGTCCATGCTAGATGTGCTACCAGAATGGATAAGTAGTAAAGCCATTGTCATATTATTATCAACATATATTATAGATTCCATGATCATCATAAAATAAATTATTGCTTTAAAGTTTTATAGAAAGGGTAAAACATAAATAACATTTTGTACTTTTTTCCAGTGCAACTCACAGGGATATATTTAAGAGTAAATATTCTGTACTTTGCAATGAGAAAAGAAAAACCTATAGATATTGTACTTTAGTTCGATACAGGCTTAACATGTCATTGTTATATTATTACCAATATTAACTTATATTATGGATATCATGGTCATCATAAAATAAATTATTGCTTTAAAGTTTTATAGAAAGGATAAAACATAAATAACATTTGATAGCTTTTCTTTC